TGGCGAGGAGGAGGACGCAGCCGACAGCAGTAGGAGGAGGAGGCCAGCGGGCTGAGGATGATGATGATGATGATGATGATGATGATGATGATGATGATGTGGAGATGGAGGTGGCTGCTCACGAGATCCCATACGATGCACCCCCCTACGGCACCGCTTTTCCTGATTCTTGGACAGGGGTGCATGCGCATCAGGATGCTGTGTATCGGCAGTTGTCCGCTGAGCAGCATGAGAGGTTCGATCAGATGCGCTTTGAGCAGCAGGACTTCTACAGAGAGGTGAGGGAGGACCAGGCGCTACATTACACACAGCTCCAGTCTCAGTACACCCAGATTGATGAGCGACTCACTTCTATGGAGACTAGCTGGAGTTCGTTCTTTGATGCCTATCCACTGCCACCCCCCTCCCGAGTATTAGATTTCATTAGACTGTCCTCTGCTAGCATCTGTATCATTATATTGTTGGATGGCTGTACCATAAACACCATCACACTCCCACTCTCACTTTTTCACTTAACTCTTTATATTGTGCTTTGCTTTGTGTTCATGATGTGTTGCAGCTTTGTGGATGATGTGCCGTGCGATTCAAGACCCAGTTTTGTTCCTGGCCGACCAACGCGATAGGGAAGTTTCCATGATTCTATTTACTCGATGCGTAATATTAACTTGAGTTGATTTTGAGCACGCGTGACCCTTTCCTCTTCACCCCTAGTACATAATGCATATTTGGTCATCGGGGACGATGCCAAAGTTTAAGTGTGGGGGAGTGAATTGGGCATTCGGGCAGTAGTTGTTACATGTGATTTGTTAGAGTTAGCATGCACAGGTGTTAGTTGTATATTCATAGGAAATTAATGCAAAATTTTTGAAAATTTTTCTTTAAATTGTGTCTTTGTGAGCTGACTAGCGTTTTGACTATGCTTTTAGAACATCTTTGAAGTGTTTAGGCTTAAATTGCTTGCATGATAATCTAGTTGTTCTCGTGCCAACATGACAAGGAAAACTAAACTTAATGAATGAACTTAGAGGCTATTGAAAAATTAGCTTTAGTCTTCCGTGTACTTCAAGTATACGTCAAAGCACAAATGTGCCGAGATGGTTTAGCTTAGTTGTACACCATGTCTACTCTTTGCATAGGTTTAAATGATTGTTCCTAATTTGTGGCCTACTGAGTTCCTTGTTCCTAAGAATAGCCCTGAAATTCCTGAATGCATTGAGTCTTTGTTAGAATATTCCTATCTCTCAAAATAAAGGGACTATCATTATTATCCATTCACCATCACATTCACAAGTCCTTCTGATCAGTAGCTAGCTTATTTGTGTAGGCTGTCATTACTTTGAGGATGTTGTGAATAATTGTGTCAAATAGTTTAGCTTAAGTACAAAGGTGTAGTTTAAGGAAGAATTTTCTTGGTTTAGATTATATGTCTTGTGAATATCCCTTTAACTACGTGTGCATGCTAACTATTTTAAATTCCGTGTGGTGATTATCGTAAGTCCCGTTGTTCGATTTGCTTGAGGACAAGCAAAAGCTTAAGTCTGATAAGTCCATATTTAGACACGCATTTGATGCGTGTTCGGGTCGGATTTTGGTGGTTTTCCTGGCTTTAAGGCGTTGCAAGTCTCAATTTTGGCTCAAGTTGTGTTTAGCAGGCGTTGAATCGAGTTTCATTGCATTTGAAGTTGATTTGAAGAAGTTAGAGTCCGGCAATCGGCGCTTGAGAGGCATTCAGGAAGGATTTGAAGGTGTTCGACAAAGATTTGAGAGATTTGGAGGTCACCAGGAGATTCACGACGAAATTCTGGTGAAGAAAGAGCATTTGGATCGACCTCATAGGCATTCGGGAGCATTCGGAGCAAGAAACGAAGAAAAAACGATGAAGAAAAGGTCAGGCACGACCGTGCCTAGGGGAGGCACGATCGTGCCTGCATTAAGGACGAGGCGTGGAGCTACTGGCAGCCAGACACGATCGTGTCCGGGGCAGGCACGATCGTGTCTGCATCTTTTACGCGCGATATACTCCGTAGGCACGATCCCAGACACGATCGTGCCTGGCATCGTGTCTGGCCCCGATTTGTCCTATTTCAGCTCAAATTCTCATGTTTTCTATAAATAAGGCCTCCATACCCATTTTTGAGGGTTACGAACTTTGTGGAGAGGCCTAGGGACGAGTTTTACCTGCGTTTTTACGTTGTTTACTTCAAGAACCTGAGATTCTTTGTAAGTTCAATTCTTTAATTAATGACAATTTATTCTATTCATCCCAATTCTTTTGATTCGTCAATTATGAGGCGTGAGTAGTTTAATTAGGGATTTGGGGTTGATAAAGGGGTTAATCATGGTTAATGGCTAGATTCTTTTCGGTTTAATTGCATGAATGCCGTTTAATTTGTGTTTGAATAATTTAACTGATATCTCTTGTAACCTAGACTGCAGCTAGAATTACAATTGCATGTAGAATGAATTAAGAGAGATCTAATTTGTTCTAGGACACATTCACACACACTTAATCGTTCGCTAAGAGATTAGTAGCGATTAAGAGGCCGTAAGCTCGCTCGTTTTGGCAATAATTTAGGATCCTGTTGCATGAGAGATCAGCCTGGACCCCTAAATTATTGTACTCTTCGCCGCGAGAGCGGTAAGAACTTAGTAATGATTAGCTAGGCTCAATTAAATTAAATTCATGTGATTAGGCCTGTTCTGCCAGAAATCTAGTTAACCCCGGAATCAATTCATATTCCCTTCGTCGTTAATTAAGGAAAACCAAATCTTTTTACCTGCTCTTTAGCATTAGTTTTATTTCAATCAATCAACCAATCTCGCACAATTGCACTTTTATTTTATTTATTTCTTTTTAATCGCTAAGTTTAGTTAATCTTTATTTCCCTTTTGTCCGTCCCTGTGGAGACGATACTCGTACTTTTCACCATTTTTCTACAACCATTTTAAGTGCGAGAAAACACTCATCACTATCACACTACACCCGAGCTCGGGACCTTGTCAGAAGATTGTGGACTTAGACATTTCAGCGTCCAAGTTTTGCACATAACTGTGATTACATCACTCACGCGATAGCTACCTAGGGCGTACGTCACCTAGGTGGTTTTTCACAGAATATTCCAGACTTAGGCGTGTGGCTTCCTTGCACATGTCAATACAAAAGGATCACATTTGTTATTAATAGTACGACTAATCAGCCAACTGTGATTATTCTCTCACCAATCGTGCTTTATACGCGTCATCATATTACTAGATGAGCTATTTTTTACTTGTTGCCCAAGGGTTTCATTTACGGTATAAATATCATCTTCCAACTTGTGGAAATGGATTGCCATTCTTGCGCACAAGCTTACTGTTATTTTTGCCAAATTTTTTACTCAACCTATACTCAGCACTTCTCAGTTTTCTCTCTCCATTTCTGCTACCCCTGGGTCGGCGAAGCCATTACCAGAATTCTGCAAATTTTCATTTCTTCTACCTCTAGAGCTATTCCATTACAACTCCATTGATGACACATGTGTATTCGTTATTAATAGAAAGGATTTGATAGAGCTGTTGGAGTGTGATTCTATCGAGATGGGCGTAAAATATGGAGGAAAGGACAAATTTACGGGCTTTTTGTGTCCGACAAGTCAAAATACGGGAGTTCAAATAAGGGTACCAAAAAACGGGAGTCGGAAGTACGGTTTCCAACTGGAGGTAGAGTTTTGAAAAATAAAGACATACTTGTGGTTTGATTTGGGGAATCCGACTAGGGATCTGGCAATTGCTTTTGTTGAAAGGCAGATTGCATCTTGGCCGAGATTTAGGGTGCACAGTGTGTTGGTCTTCCCCTGGTAGAGAAAAAGTGAAAGACCCGAAATGGATTACAGGAGTATCATCCGTCTGGTTCCCTGCTACCACGCCGGCTAGGGTGTCGGACTCCCCCGATATCGCCAGAGCGTCCCCAATCTTAGCCTCTCCTGAAAACCTTGGGGAATCCGACTAGATTTTTCTTTTTTTTAGATAAAAAAAGAAATATTAAATAACGTGCAACAGATCTAATTTTTATACCTGTGGTCCTAAAACTGAAACCCGTTCGTGGAATCCGACTGGAAATTAGATAAAGTACTACTAAATGAAATATTAAAATAATAAATAACATATTTGTTAAAATGTGAATAACGTAATATTAAAATATAAATAAGAAATAATAAATTAATATGTAACATAATAATTTCATTTAACTATTAATTTCCATATTTTAAATTATGTTGGTGCGTTGAATGAAATCTTATCTGATGAATTTTATCTGGTTAATTTTTATCTGATTAAAACTTATCTGATACATTACTAGTATATTGCTCTATTATTAAAAATTCTAAAAAATTTATACATGATTACTACGGTGGACTTCTCTTATCTGATGATTTTTATCTGATCAATTTTTATCTATTTTAAGTGATAAATTTTATGTGATTAATTTTTTTTTGTTAATTATCTGTTTAAATTTTACATAAATTTTTATGTGGGATGAATTTGTACAAAATTTTCTTTATAAAAGTTTATAGTTGGGTGGTTGTTGAAGTTTTGTAGTGGGATGGGTCTAAGCTTTTTTAATTGGCTATTCCAACTACAAGATTTTTTTTAAATTTTTAAAATGCCCCTTCCTACGGTCGGAATTCGCTCTTCCAACAAGAGGGTATTTTTTTAATTTTTGTAAAAAGTTAATTTCCTACAGTCGGAATTGGGTCTTCCGACGTTACTTTTTTTATTTTTTATTAATTTCTTCCTAGCCCTAACTCTATTCGGAATTGGGACTTCCGAATCCCGTTAATTTGGAAACCCTTAATTAAGAAAATTAACCATCTTTTAACTGAAAGAACATATAAAGAACGAGCCTCTACAACACCCTCTAAGCTTGATCTATTCACTGCTGATAAGATATAAAACGATATGTAATAACATACAAACATGATACGATAAATTAAAAGAAGAGAAATACAGTAATAGTCGACTAACCTCAGGGTATTAGACAAACCGCGTGGTGTAGAATACGTCCGGTCTAAGGAGATGGAAATGGAGAGAGCAATGTAGCGTACGACCGTCTGGCTGAGAGATGAGATCAGAGAGATGGAGGAAATGGGCTTAGGTTATTCCAGATCTTGGCACGTGATTTTCTAATTGGACTGGATCAAACACTATAGCCAATAACTATGGCGGTGGTACATATATAAACTGCACATAAACACCATCTTTTTCCGGCAGAGGAGGGAGAGAAGGGGTTCAGTGAAGTGCTGCGATGGCGGAGAAGCCCCAACCTGTTCAGGTTTTGTATTGTGGAGTTTGTGGTTTACCCCCTGAGTATTGTGAGTTCGGCGGACCCGACTTCGAGAAATGCAAACCGTGGTTGATCCAGAACGCACCCAATGTCTATCCAGATCTTCTTAGAGGTATAAACCTGTTTGGACTGTATATGGGAACATATATCTTCTCAATTTTAAAGAGGCTTATGTTTATTTTCTTTGACTAAATTTTTATTTACTTAACCAATAAAATATATATATTTTCCATCATTTTTAATGGAGCAAAAGACTCACTATTTTTTGGCTTGGGAGTTGGGAATATGATGGAATAAAGCAAAATAGCACACTAAACTGTCTGCGCTTCGTTATTATGAAGCAGTAATCAGTGCATGCAATTTTCGACGCAGATTTCACTATGGGTCATCCGGAAACAGTTTCTCGGTGCTTTAGTACAGGGGTAAAACTGCGTACATCCGACCCCCTTACCCCATCGTAGATGGGAGCCTTTGCGGCACTGGGGTAATGATGATGATGATGATGATGAACCAATAAAATATATTTTTGTACCTACTTTTTATAATACTGTGGATTCAAAGTCATCATGCCATAATGGTTTAAAAAAATTATATAAACATAGCTAAAATGGTTTTCTAAGGTCACTCCAAGTAGATCGTATAACAAGTAACACCGGTTCTCATACAAAATTTGAGGAATAGTTATATAAAAAAACTTAACTAGCAAAATCGGTTTAGTTCCTATATAAAAAATTCAAAACTCCACAATTGTTATGGATCTAAATCAAATCTAAATGGTTTGGTTCGGTTCGGTTCTTGCTTTTATCGGTTCATATAAATAATTTTTTTTCATTCCCAAAGTTAACACATACTCCCTTGATCCCTTCATCCCTTGTAACTTTGTCAAAATTGAGTGACACGTAAAATAATAAAGTAAAGTGGTAAAATTAGTAGGACAACTAAAAACGAAATTTTGCAAAGTTGCAAGGGACATAGGAGGTCATTTACTTTTGGCTACATAAAAATGTCAAAATTAGAAGACAGGGAATAAAAGTATTTCCGAAGTTCAAATCACTCAAATAACAAAGTACAAACTTAATCAAGTAAACACCTATTGGAATAAAGAATATTTCAATTTTTGCCGAGGCGTAGCTCACCTGAAGGAAAGGGGTGCCATAAGGGAGATCCCGGGTTTAACTCCAAACAAAGACTTGTGATGGAACTTTACTAATATTTTCATCAGTGATCAAAGCTCAATTTACATCCTCCCAGAAAACGGTTCTGAAACGTCTTCAAGGATGGGATGTCATCCTTTTTTGAAAAATACTCGTATTTCAATTTTCGTTCAAGAGGTAAAATATGAAAATAGTTGTTTTGGTAGCAATGAAGGTTGAATCATCATAGTACCAAAAATAGACGTCTAGTTCGAGTCTCTCAAAACATAAAAATATATGGAATTAACACATTTATTTGGGTTGCTTTTATATTTATGAAATTTACGTGATGGAACAAAACATGATTTGTAAAAAAATGAGTTTAATGTATTCAACCTCATGGAAAGAAATCTGTAACTTCCGATTTTTCCAATTCAATTTAACTTGTTTTGTTGCAAAATGGCATTGGTTGTATTCATACTATACTGTTACTAATACTACTACTAATAATTTGTTCTTAGATATTTTTGTTAATGTTATCATTATTATTACTACTACTATACTTTTTACTTTTTTAATAATGGGTTTTTAACGGTTCCTTAGACATGTTCAAGGTTGTTACGGCGTCCGCCTAGTCACCAACTAGGCATCTTGGTGTTAGGGAGTGGTCGTTAGGTGCCATCGCCTCACTGGAATAAGGTCATCCTTGTGGATAGTAAAATCATCAATTTTAACAATTAAAATTTACATGTTTAGAAACTATGTTGGAAGTTTTATAAAGTTGCAAACTCCACTTTACTATAGAATAAAAAATGATATATGGAGTACTAAATAAGTCAATAAAGTAAAACTATGTTAACCAAGAAAAGTTGACTCTGCGAATCAATTTGGGATGGATGGAGTATATACTATAGTTATTAAATATGGTGCGACCAGTCGCCTCGTTGTCGCCTAGGCGGGCACCTATTCGCCTAAGCAATAAGGCGATTTGTTGGCGTCGCGCCTCACCTCGCCTAACCTCCATAACAACTATGAACATTTTTTTTGTAGAAATCAGGAACTGAACCGTTAAGAAGTTATAACTCATGTGTAGAAATGAAACCGGGTTATAATGGTTCGGTTCCGAACGGTTGTTTGGTTCTTGGTTCTAAAATTTCACCCCTAACTACAACCTTACTTAGGAAGTGTTTGTGATTACTTTTACTTTAAAAAAAATGATTTTTCAAGTGATTTAGAAAAAGTGATTAATAGTGAAAATTGGTGGTGCCTAAGAAAGAAGTGATTTTGAAAAAGTAAAAGTTAGTAGTGTTTGACAAGAAAAGTGCTTTTTGTGTAATAGAAGAGTGAAAAGCAGTTTAAAGCATCCCTCCACCTGCATCTAGCTTTTGACTTTTAAGTGTTTAAGTTAAGTAGAAGTTGTCACTTGAAAAATACTAATTTCAGCTTTTTAAAGCCAAAGCTGAAAAACACTTTTATTATTTTTTTGCGAACACTCCCTTATATTGATTACTCCACACCCCAACGCGCGAAATATAAAATTACGTGTTTGGTAAAAAGTTGGCTGATAAATTGAAAATAAAGGTTTCCAAACGGGCTCTTAGTGTTACTGAATGGGCTCTTATTTTTTTAATTATATGTCAGGAGCTGATGGAAAAGAATCAGATACAGTAGCTGATCAGTTTCAAGCAACTTCGATCTCTGATGGTAATTTTTTTTCCTTTTCTCATGTACCTATGGTGTTTAGTAACTGTAGTGGCTTAACAAAAAGTGATTTTTTGTTTGCTTCCTCATACATACTACCTTAAATTAAACCCAAGGTGGCATGTAATTAATTTTCATTACTATACTGTGCACTTGTTGTAAGTTGTGCTTTATCAGGAGCATTGATTCCACTCTTGGTTCCCTAAATATTTTGTTGATTCCATATTTTGTCCACGCCTTTGACTTTATCCATTTCTGGTTCATGATTATCATTTTTCCCAGCTGTGGCCCTTTCATCCATACTTCAGGCATTCAAAATCCTTGTTTCAGATGTGTTGAGAATTCAACCAAAAAGACCACATATAAGCAAGAAACAATAGTTATAGATCAAAAGTGGACAAATTGTAAGGTGTGTACCAAATGTGGGATTAACATAATACTCGTAGGACCAAAATTGGAATTAGTTCTTATTAAGATATTTACTACTTTTCAAATAGTGGACGCTCTAGGTTTAATGGTGGTTTTTAAGAAAACTTAGTATTCAACAAATCAATTTTTATTATCTATACTTCTGTTAATGTTTTTGTTTGTTAGCTGGAGCAGGTTCTTCAGCTCCTAAGCAGGAAGAAGTGAAACGCCTTCCAGGTGGAAAGATAAAAAAGAAAGTAAGTACTGTTTCTGATTCGTTCTTTTAAATAAAAGCATTCATCTTTTATCAATGGTAATATTAGACCTTATTTGTATGTCTAGATAAGTATTGTTGACCTTTGTGTTTCCTTAATTCCTCTCAAGCTTGCATGCTTCATGGCGTTTGCATAGTTAAACTTAAAATGAAATAAATTTCTCAAAGCAAAATGTGGTATGAAGCATCACAAAATGCGCAACAATTGTTAGCAAGCTTTGGATTCACTAGTTTGTTAGTTCCCCATTAACTTGCAGTCCTAGAATGGTGTATTTTCTACCGTAGACATCCTACTCGCTGGTCTTGATTGTTTGTTGGTATGTCATATCGATGAAAGTGACTAGACTTGCACTTGTTTTAACAATAAATTGCGCAGTTCTTTGACCAATTTGCGAAGTAAATTTAAGTTTGGTGTATAACTTGTCTATTGCAGGACAAGCAAGAAGTTGTGATTGAAAAGATGACTCGTAATAAGAGAAAATGCATCACTACCATTAAGGGGCTAGAATTATTTGGTATGTTATGTTATCAAATATGATGTAGCTCATTCACATTGAAAACTCTGATGGACATCTGCTAAAGTGTGGTTATGTTATATCAGGCATCAAACTAAGCGATGCCTCAAAAAAGCTTGGTAAAAAGTTTGCCACAGGAGCCTCTGTAGTTAAGGTGCACTGAAATCTTGGCATTCAATTTAGTTCCTGTCTTCCCATATGGTTATTCCGTTTCTTAATATTTCTGACCTCTTTTATGATTATTTTTTCTAGGGCCCAACCGAAAAGGAACAGATTGATGTTCAAGGAGACATAGCGTATGACATTGTGGATTTTATTACAGAGACCTGGCAAGATGTAATGCTCTTTTTTCCTTCTGTTTTGTTTAAAATAATGGATCTTGAGCGGGTAGTCTATCTTTGGACTAGCAATCTTTTACTCCCTATCGTGGTTTAAGAATATTCTGATCAATTTCCTACACAGTTCCAACTAACAACTACTTTTTGAATGAAGACTTGCCTTCATAATGAGAGCTGATATTTTCATCTGAGAAATCTCTCTGAAAGAGCATGTGGCTTAAAGATAAAAATCAATTGATAACTTGAATCAAGTGTTGAGGGCTTTTGATTGCTTTCCATGGGAAATTATTTTCATTAGACGTGCTTTTCAGCAAAAGAGTTGTGCCATAATGGTGTTTACAGATTTGCAACCGTAGCCACCATATGAATCCATTTCATAACTTTAAACAAAAATGTGAATGCCCTATGGTTAAGATGCATTCTAAGCAGCCCATTGGGCTTTTGCATCTATAACAGATGGAATATAGACATATGGTTGTAGGTGCGTCACATCTATTTAGTGGTTGTATTCTTATAGGGATTAGTCTGCATCAGCAAGGCTAGGCCTTTTTGTGATTACAAGTCCTTTGAATTTTAAGCTTTTAATTTCTATATATATTGATTCTGCCTCCTGCCTTATCTAAATACGTGGTGCATTTTCATTTTATAGAGTAGTTTAAAGTAGCCAGAGAGAAGCTCCTGTTTGGGTCCACTAACTAATGTGGCACCACCATTCATTTTAATAATGGGGCCCTCTCTATAATTATACTCCCTAATTTGTAGTGATCAGGTCATAGAGCCCCGGATCAGGTCATCGGGTCATCAGACTCGGTAATAGAGCCCCGGAACTTTTATTATACACAAGTGATAAAGTGTTTTCCTGTCTGCTGTTTTCAGGTTCCTGAGTCTGCAGTTTTCTTTATTGAAGATGGGAAAAAAGTTCCGGCTGTATAAAATTTTGGAGGCAATTTCATGCAAAACCTTAATAACCTTTGATTATGCTATTGTGGACATGTATATATGCGAGATATTTAAACAAATTATCATAGTTGTGCACCTGTGCTTGAAGGTATAGATGGACATGTGAACAATGCAACTGCCTTTTGCATCTAATTTGACTTGCATCCTGATCATTTTCTAGTTTTTATCTTGACTGGCAATTCTTATATGTACTCCCAGGAACTCCGGCTTAAAGTTTGTGGCTAGATTTTAGCAATCTTTACCTGCTAAGATGATGCTTACTGTTATGCGTATTGTCTTCATTTTTTCTCATTCTAGGTCTGGGTAGGGGTATAGCCTGTTTTTTGGTTAGGCATATAGGAGTACTGGAATCATAAAATGAGGTGAACAGGATAGCATTCTCAGATGGCTTCAACTTTGGCGATGCTCTAAAGGTTTTCTAGAAAGGTGTGCTATATCGCCTCCCAATGCATCACTTATGTTTGTCAGCCATTCGGTACTAGGACAAGCTCATCTCCGACCACTGCATCAAGAGGATCCCCTTCTACATTTCACCCTAGGTTCATTGGATGGGCGTGCTACATCGAACATACCATGCGCCACTAGGCCCCAGTTCTCTCTTCATGAATCATGATTACAATGTCCACATCTAGAATTGGTATTGTGTCGTCCCGACCAAGTTTGTGTCAAACACCTATTGGGTGATGGTCGGTTTCATTATTCGCTGCAAGAAGTCCAGTCTTGATTTGTTCCATTACTTTTCCCAAGTCTAAGCTCAAGTATAACAAACTAAAAACAAAAAAAATATTTGTACCCACTTTTATACCCACTTTTGTATCCACCGTGTCTGTGAGGAATTTTTTTGTCTGTGAATCTCAGTCACAAACACATTATGTCTATGCAAATTATGTTGTCTGTGAATTGGATTGACAGACAAAAAAACTTATCACAGATATTGTGAGTACATGGTGGGTATAAAAGTGTGTACAAGAAGAAGTTCTCAACTAAAAAAGGTTACCTTATTGTCAACTCTCGAGCTTGTTGCTCTTTTTCAGAAGATTAAATATTCCATCAAAATATGGAAGGAGTTGTTTTTTAGGGTTTTGCTAGGTGTACACAAAATGTGTACACATTTTTGTACACTTGTCTGTCTCAGGCAGACAAGTTGTCTGTTACAGACAACTCATATATGACTTGTCTGTGACAGACAACTTGTCTGCCTGAGACAGATAAGTGTACAAAAATGGTGTACACATTTTGTATACACCAAACATTTTTCTCTGTTTTTTAAGGACATTGTAGAGTGTCAACAACAAAAAGCCAGCGTGGAGCGTGTTAGATAGTCGTTTGATTCTGGTCATTTTCCCTTTTGTAGTCTGCATGTCTCCCTCAGTCTACTCGTGAAGAATTGGATGTTGAGACTTGAGAGCATTCAAAAGGTTAATGCCACCTGAACTCCTGAAGGGTGAGCAGACAGTGAATGTTATGCTCATTCAATCCCACATGTTATGGACTTTGAGGGAGCATTCTAGATGTTCTCGTTGTATGTTTCATCTCAGGTACTAGGTAGGGATGGTTCAGTATGATATATCGATATTTTATCTCATACCTTTATCGTACCATAAATTTTTTGTATGCAAAAATACATACTGTTAGCTTCCTGAAATTTTAGTATAGCTAATTTTGGTATATCAAAATAAAGTACGATAAATGAGTTGCATCGCTAAATTATTACTCCCTCCGTCCAATATAAAAGGCACATTTGTTTTTCCACACATTTTTAGGGTGAACACTGTTTGACACCGTTTGACATTGTTTATACACTATTTGGCACTGTTTGGCATTGTTTTGTTTGCCAAAAGGGAAATGTGTCTTTTATATTGGAACGGTCCAAAAAGGAAAATGTGCCTTTTATATTGGGACAGAGGGAGTATGATTTAATATAACAAATGATTATATGCCAAATGAAATATAAAAAATCAGTGTAAGTTGTGATATACAAAAATCATAAATGAAATTGATTATACATCAATACAAACTTCTTCAAAACCTTACAACGTAATGTACTCAATTCAAACTTCATGACAAAAACTCTTATAAAACTCAACAATATAAGATATCAAAACTACACTTCAACTACTAATTCAAATACATATAGCAAAGTTAAAAAAGACAAAATATTCCATGGAGAAAATTCAAAAAACAACTAATGCAAATCTATAACTTCATTATCACATCAATAAAACACATACACCAGAATTTCATCAATTTTTTCAAAAGAATATGATTCTGCCCTTGATATCCAATCTTTAAGTATAAAATAGTTACGATCTATTAGAAGATTTATAAATTATTGATTAAAAGTAATATATGAAAAAGACTTACTAATTACATAATACTATCCTCCGTTCTCTTTTAATCGCAACATTAGACTTTTTGCACTATTCACATATTCTACTTTGACTATATTTTACTCATTAATGTATTATAAATTAATTTTTTAAAAAATATAATTAAATTCTTCTCATTCTAAATATTCAAAATATGAGTTTTTTGAATTTTTTACTAATAAGGAATGAAAGATATTAATGGTCAAACTTGTGCGTTGGCAAACGTGAAATGTTGATTGTTGCAATTAAAAGGGAACGGAGGAAGTATAATATATATATAATTATATCTTTCCAATATTATGACTTCCTTGATGAACAATGCAACCTTCCCACATAAAACACATCTTTTATTTTTCCACATATTGTCACTCCGACTTGTCTTGCACACTAATTAAACATATCATTAAATATGTAAAAAATATGTAAAACATATTTTTATGCAAATTTTATAAAGTTGTTGACTTTCCTAAACTACCCCCACCATTCCCACGTGCTGCACAAAAAAGCAAAAAGAAGAAAGCTCAAAAATAACTTTATTGAGATAAAAACCAACTGAAGGGGTAAAAAAAGGGATAAAAGTACATTGATGTTGATGGTTCTACAGTATAAAGCCTACTCCTTTTTCTTTCCGTAAGAGAGCTATGCGTACACCTCCAAATTTTTGGAGGGATCAATCTACAAATCAAGATGAAATTTCAAACTCCCCCCCAACCCAAAATTTACACTTTAAGAGGGTACAACAACTGAAACCCTATCATTTACTACCCCAATGGATCTTTCTCAGTCTCTCTCTCTAGAACCCGAAGCTTCCTTAAATGGAACTGCGGGGAGGTACAACTTCTATAAATGGCCATGGAGGTACTCCTTTCTCAACTGCCTTGACGGTCAAGGCAGTCAAGGTTCAACAAAGAAGTGACCTAAACAAAATAATGCACAAAAAAGCAGTACGGTAGAAATGCTTTTAGCTAACTTCAACAAAGGAATACTTCAGAGGGGCATTGAAAAAAGATACAGCTGAAAAATTCAACTGTTCTACGCGTACGGTTAACACTTTGTGGGCCAAAACAAAAAGGCAACTGAGTGATGGGGTGCCTATATATGTTCAAAGCCAATGTAAGGGTAACGTGGGTAGAAAAAGAGTTGCTTTTGACTAAGAAAGGTTAAAATGCATTCCACTGCATAAAAGAAAGAACATCAGGTCACTGGGATTTGCCCTGCAGATTCTAAGTCTTCTGTGCACAGATTAGTAAAAGATAAGCAAATAAAGAGGCATTCAGTTCCATCAAGCCCTTACTTACACATGCTGGAAAGGTGAAAAGGTTACAATTCTGTCGATCTCATATTGTGCCTAGGCCTTTCCCACAAAATTCCACTTTTCATCATTTCTTTGACCACATTCAACATTGATGAAAAGTGATTCTTTTTATCTAAAGAAATCACAACATAATACACTCATCCAGATGAGGTAGACCCCTACAAAGCTGCTCAATCCGAAAAAAATATACCCAAAATAATGTTTTTAGCAATTGTAGGTTGGCCTAGGTTTGGGGAGGACGGGGCAGTGCTATGGGATGGAAAGCTCGGTATCTTTCCATTCACTTATGAGGAAAAGGCAAAGAAATCTAGTAAGAACAGACCAGCAGGCACAATGGAGACCAAACCCACATTAAGTGTGACTAGAAATGTGATTAAGGACATGATGCTACACAAAGTATTACCAGCAATCAAACAAAAATGGCCAGATGCACAAAACAGGAACATCATCATTCAACAAGACAATGCAAACTATATTGAAGTAAATGATGCGGATTTTGTGGAGTGTGCAACTGAAGATGGGTGGAACATAAAGCTAAGTTTTCACCAACCAAACAGCCCAGACCTTAATGTGTTAGACTTGGTTTTTTTGTGCAATTGACTCACTGAAGGAACAGAAAGCCCCTAAAAAAATTGTTCAATTAACTGAAGTTGTGATAACTGCTTATGATGAGTTAACAGTTTACAGTTTAAACAAAGTTTTCTTAAGTTTTCAGTGTGTCATGGGGCAAATTTTGATGCACAAAGGTGAAAATAACTTTAAGCTCAAACATATTGGGAAAGACAAGCTTGACAGACAGGGGATGCTACCACTCAATATGGAAATCAATCCTGAGTTGGTGGAGGAAGCAAAAACATCACTTCTACAAATGCAATCAGGGGCTGAAACTGAACCACTTGCCACTGAGTTCATAAGTGAAGCTCAAGGTGATCTTCAATAATGAACTTAGATCACAAAGTGAGGTTTTTGTATGTACTCACTGAAGGACAACTTTTTTGTTAGTACTGCCTTACATACATGCCTAGCCTACAATTTTACAATGTAGTGGCATGGTAGTAGTTTTTGGTAAATCTTTTGTAAACTTAAAGGAAAACATGTTTGATTTAAAGTCTAATGTAATATTCAACCCACACATAATGACATACATTGGCTATCACAGTAGTATGCAAACACCTTTGGCATAGCCTCCTACACTAAATGATAATGGGTGGCACATGTTTAAAGGTAGCAAAGCACCCTAGGTTTTAAGACAATGACCATCATCATGATTACAATGAATCAAATAAGCACACAAGCCTCATCATCATTAGTAAGCAGATAAGCACATCAAAGCCCAAGCTAAGCACAAGCTCAAAGGCATCAACATTTGTGAATTTTACAGAACAGATTACCAGATAAGCACATCAAAGCCCATCATCATTCTAAATCAACAAAATCATAAGCTGAGGAATCCAAGGGTCCATTTCAAATTTCAGAAAATAACATAGCCTCCTACCTTTAATCAAAGTGGGAAGCACATGTAAAAAGGCATCAACATTTGCATATTTTTCATTACAAATAATCAGATAAGCACATC